ACAACAAACACCATGCTCTGATCTTTCAATCACAGTCATTACACATTTCAGAAAAATATATCTCCTCTAGTGGATTAAAAATTCTGCAAAACTATCATTTTAGCACCATAAATGTTAAGTATCTTCTACACAATCTAGAATATTTAAATCAGCCAGTGATGGGTTTTAGATAATAAGGGATTGTTTGGTTTGAGGGAAGTGAAGGAGAGGGAAGACTATTTCAATGAATCAAATTAAGTCATTAGGATAGTCTTTCCTTTCCTCAAACCAAATGGGCTTTAAGCCTAAGTAATATCTAGGGGCCTGGACTTTTTATGCAACTCCAATTAGTTCTAAATAATTGTGATGCTAACTTTGACAGCTGAAAATTTTTCTGCAGGCAGTATCCATGGGAACAGAGGCCACAAAAACTTAAGCTAAAAAGTTATTTGTAAGTAAAACATAGTCCTTATGACATGCTTAAGCTAAAAGTTCAACACATACCAAGAATAGAAATGCCCACTCTCATTTTAGCTTATCTTGTTTGTTCACACAATGCCCAATAAAATACAGAGTAATATTTTAACATGAAAGCTGTATATTGAATACATTTTTGAAAGAGATGATGATCTACTGATTGGCTACATGAGCAATGAGGACACTACAGGAGTGTTTAAACCAATACATAATGAAAGGAGAATGACACTTGACATGATTTCAATGAAAAGAACCAGTGCTATTAAACTGTATGATATATCAATGAATATTAATATATGTGACAATATGGCATTTTCATAATGGTACCAGCATGGAGAACCTCAACTGGATAATAATATCTCAACTGAGATAAAAGTTTTGGATTCCTGATGTCGTCAACATCTCAAGAAGGTGCCTCATACAGAAGACCCACTAAAATCTGAAGAATCTTCAGCAAGACCAAAGCAGAATAGAACTACTGCTGATAACATCACAAATGGCCCATGGGACAATCAGCAGCATATTGGAAAATTTTATTTATTTTGATAGGGCAGCACATTGTAAATTTTAGGAACTCTCAATGGGCCCAAAAAGTTTACTCTTGTAAGCTCGTTCATTCAAGATTTGACCATAAAACCTCAACTTTGGGGCAAGCTAGAAGCTTTTCTCACAAACCCACTTTTGGGCCAACTAGCTTCTAGAGTAAGGAGTTGCAAAGGCTGTAACAGCTGCCAAAGGTGCATGCAACCCTTTGGTCAACAAGCTAAACTGGAGCAATATAAAACATTGCTCAGAAACAACCATGCATTGGATCAATGCAATGAATCTTTTACTAAACATATGC